TTCTTTCTTTCTTTCTTTCTTTCTTTCTTTCTTTCTTTCTTTCTTTCTTTCTTTCTTTCTTTCTTTCTTTCTTTCTTTCTTTCTTTCTTTCTTTCTAATTGACCTCTGGGCCTGGGCACTGTCCCTGAGCTCTTCAGCTCAAGACTAGCACTCTACCACTTGAACCACAGTGCCACTTCTGGTTTTCAGGTGGTTAATTGGAGATAAGAGTCTCATGGATGTTTTTGCCTGGGCTGGCTTTGAACTGCCATCCTCAGATCTCAGCCTCCTTAAGTAGCTAGGATTACAGGATGAATCACTGTTGCCGGGCTTTAACTAACTTTTCATTCATCGCACTGTCGTGCAAAGTTTTATTATCAGTAGACACAGCAAATCATTCCAGGGACACAGGTGTGACTCTGTATATCATTTCTTATTATTGTTATCTTTATCATCAACTCAGTGGTCCAATAATTTACAATCTGTGATTCTTTCAGTGCTGTTACGATTATGTTTTCTTTTCTTAGTTCAAAAGAAATAGAAGACTTTCCATCCAATGAGTCATTTAGTAGCCAGCAGATGAATCTCAGTGTTGGTGAGGACAGCACGGGTAGCTGGTCCAATTTAAGTTTTGAGGATGATCACCAAGATGACAGCAGCAGTTTTCATCATCTCAGTGAAAGGTAACTACAACTATATATATATATATATATATATATATATATGCACACACACATATGTATGTATATATATAGAGAGAGAATGATGTAGTTTAGAATTTCAGACATTAGAATAAGTTATAAATTTACCTTGAATATTATTTTAGAATTCTAAATTTGCAAATCTGTTACTGTAAAAACACATTTTATTATTCACATCATGTTTCTAGTGTTTTGTTTCTTTGAGACAGTCCTTCTATATAGCCCAGCACACCTGATTCTCCTGCGTCAGTTTCCAAGTGCTAGGATTACAGAGATATACTACCATCCCTAGTTTCTAATTCTTTTTGACACAGAACAAATACAGTAGTTAGCAGGGTTAATACTCTTTGGGTGTATTTATAGTTAACTTGAAAAAATATAGTGGATGTTTGCATTTTTTTTAAGCTTTTAAGCTTCTTCTAAACTTCTAGAAACAATTTCTTTTTTACTTTAGGAGAGTACTGTGTTTTTTAGTTTTTTCATTAGAGGATAGAAAATGGGACAGTTACCTGTAAAAGGCATCAAAATAGTTTTTTTCCCACTTAATCTTTATTTTTGTATTATCTTTAGATGTACAAAGGAGCTTCAATTTAGTATGTCAGTTTATAACCACAAAATATCTTGATCAGTGTCACCCTTTTATCATTCTCCCTATATATAAGTATTTTTTGATAGATAAAATGGTATGTTCTATGGGGGCAAGAGGAGAAAACAAAAAGGTATATAAATTATTGGTATTAAGTAATCAGCCTTTTTTGAATAACCTTGTCAATATTTACTGATTCTTGAGAACCAAAGTTTTGGGTGTAAAATATTAATTTTTATAATTGATAAGGCTAATATAGGGACTAATAGCTGCTTGTCACTGCAGACTAATGTGCTTACTAATTCTTTTACTCCTTAGGGACAATTAGGATTTTTTAATTGCATGTTGACGGCTTTAGTCTGAAGAATTGAATTTAATTTTGTTTCTGAACATAGTTGCTTTGTATTTTTAAACAGTTGCTTTGCTGCAGTTGCAGAATATAATTGCTTTTCTTTTGGTTCAGTAGTATAAGAAGTTTTCTGTGTGTAGTGTTAGTGACTGGCTGACCAGACAAGTGTGGTACTTAATTAAACTTTTGTTATTCCACCTTTACTCTGAAGAAAATAAATGTTATTTGCCACCTATTGAATTATACATAATATGTGAAGTAACTGACATATTAATCTAACAGTGTTTTAAAAATCCACCTGTTTGAGACTGTTTAGATGCACCTGTCCCTTTTTCCCCACACTCCACCAAAGCCCATCACTGTTTTGCATATTTAAAAACCTGAGAGAAATTTAACTTTTTTTTCTTTGAAGACTTTATCCAAACCAAAGGGAATTGCTTTTGAAGAAACTACATGACCTTAATTTTATCATGCATTCATTTGCTGTCCTAAAAGCCATTTTGTTGACTTAGTCTACAAAAATGATGTAAGTTCAGAATAATTTCCAAGATATATTGAGGATAAAGAAAAAGACTTCTGAGTCTCCAACCCTGATAGTACCCTAGAATAGCAGTGATGGTCTTTCTTCCCTTCTGTGGTGGCTCTAATCCATTGTGGCATCTTGAAGACATGCACAGTTACCAAGGACAGCTGTTCCAAGGAAAACGAAGGTGGTCTTTACTATTCATTTTCTAGTTCAGCTCTGTTGTTTTCTTCCTCTAGCAGTAATGGTAACAGCAGTAGCTGGAGCAGTCTTGGTTTAGAAGGAGATTTGTATGAGGACAATTTATCCTTTCCAACATCAGACAGGTTGGTCCAGTCTGGGAACTTAAAAACTGATGAGTCTCTCACCTCTAATGCATGATGTTATATTCTTAAGAGAATGTGGGCCACAGTGTCAATATGTATCCACTTGCTTTTCTCCTGTATTTTGATATTATTCTGCTTGATACATTTACATCTAATGAAAACATTCAACTATCTAAAATCTGACTGACCTCTAATTGCAAATGAGTGACTGTTATGCATGGGTTATTCTGCTTGCTTTTTTTTTTCTCATTCTGCCAATTATTTCATTTAAAAAGAGCTTGCTTCCTACAGGATTTCTGTTGTTGTTTTTGTTTTGTTTCATTTTGGTTTTGTATGTTGACTTCCTATATAATAAAAGTGTAGGAAAACGTTTTTACTAAAGCTAGAAAGTATTAAATGACATCAGTTAGGAGCATTAATATTCCATTGTTTATGACATTCTATGATGTGGAATTAAAATCAGATTGGAATATCTCAGCTTTACATTTTATATTCAATTTACTAAGCAATTACTTGGCTCTAAATATGATCAGGTAGGACTTCTTGGGGTTTTTTTTGTAACTTTTGGCATCATTTACAATTTTCATTTTTTAACATGAAATGATGTGAGAAGCAAAGCTTCCTTTTTATGATCATTTCCCTCCTTCAAAATGTCATAATGTAACATCCATTGCTTACTGCATTTCTAAGTAGAGGTTTTAATACATTACTAACTAAGCTCCTTTTTTTTTTAACTGCTTCTGCTGTTGGTTGTTTCTTCAAAAAGTGATGAGCCAGAAGATGAAGATGAAGAGCATGAGGACAATGTAGAATGTAAGTAACAGTTATTTTTGTATAGTTTCCTAGAGAAGTCTTTATGATTTATTTTTATGCATCTTCATCAGATAGGCCATGGATTTTATGTATTAAAACAATCATAGTTTCTTTTTGTTGTTGTTGTGGTACTAGGGGTGGAGCCCATGGCTTTGTACACACTAGGCTCTACCACTGTGCTATTCCCACAGTCCTTGAAGTCAGTATATTCTTGAACTTTGAAACAATTTATAGCATGCTACTCTTTTAATATTTTCCTTCCAAACTGTTAACTTCTAGAATTCATGATTCATGTCAGACTTATATAAATCAGTAAATAAAACCAAAAAGATATTTCTAAATCTCCCTGCAATTCTGTTCTCTTAGAATTCCAGCTCTGTATTCATATATACACATATTTGAAGAGAATAATCAAGCCTTCCTTCCTTTAGTGATCATAGTTCTATAAGATATATAACTAAGACTCCTCCCATAGAGGCTGAGCTTTCATTATATTCAGATAATTGTTGAATTTTTCTTCATGTTTTCTCTTAATGAAATGCAAATAACATCTATATATAATCTATATAATAGATTACATATATGACAACTACATATACAAATATTTACACTGTTGGAAATATTTGTTTTTGAACCAGCAAATTTTTTGTTATTTTTTTAGAACTAGGCAAACTGAGGGCTGTGTGTGCCCTACCAATGGAGACTATGTGTTCAGTTCCCAGCACTGAGAGTTAGGTAAGGGGGAAGAGGTAGGCTGAAAAGAATTACTTGAAATCTGCCAAGCTTGCATGTTGACACATTTTAATTCCAGTACTTGGGGGCTAAGAGAGGAGAATCATGATTTTGAGACCAGCCTACATAACAAGTCCAAAGCCACCTCAGACTACAAAATAAGATCCTATTTCAAAAGAAAAAACACCTCCAGAATTCTTGAAATATACATTATTCCCTCTGAGTTATAATAATTTTTTCATCAGTTATACTTCTTTTAGGGAAGTCGTTTGCCAGTCTTCAAACTAAAGAGTGAAGTAATTCAGAGCATGGAGCTAGACTGTTATTCATAATACGGCTTAGTCAATTCCTGCCACAAGACTCTGGCTCAACTCATTTTTTTTTGGGGGGGGGTCCGGTCGTGGGGCCTGAACTCTGGGCCTGAGTGCTGTCCCTCAGCTCTTCAGCTCAAGGCTAGCACTCTACCACTTGAGCCACAATGGACTCTGGCTCAACTCTTACCTACAAAATAAAGATAATACTTCCTACCTCATAGGGTGATTGTGAGGATTAAAGGAATTTGTATGCATAAAGAGTATCGAACAGACAAATTGTTTAAATAGGGGTACAGGTGGACCCATTGTAACAATGAGATGTACAAATCGTTATGTCGAAAAACGAACTTTACAACTTGGGGTGGAGGGTGGGGGGGAGGTGGACCGGGGGGGATGAGGGGGATGGGATATGCAAAGGGATAGGAAGGGGAAACAAAGGAGGAAGCAAGAATGCTTGATAAGAAATGTACTCATTATCTTGCCCATGTAATTGTAACTCCTCTGTATGGTATTTTCATAATAAAAAATTTTTTAAAAAGTATCGAACAAGACTTAGGATATAATATGAACTATATAAGCATTTGTTGCTATTTTGTCTGTGTGTGTTTGTACTGGTAGTGGGATTTGAAATCAGGTCCTCACCCTTAAAGTTCAGTTAGAACTTTACTGCTTAAACCATACCATGTCTTTTTGGTGGATAGTTTGGAGATTGAGTCTGACATACTTTTCTGACCAGACTTTGATTGTCTGGATCTCATTCTTCTGACTGAGTAGCTATGAATACAGATGTGAGCCACTGGTACCCAGCTTTCTACTCATTTGAAGCTTATATTTGTATATTTCATTTTAATTTTAATTACAGTAATAGCTTTATAGTTTTATTGTTTCTCCTTTTATCTGAGAATTTTAATTTGACACTGATTATGACATTTGTAGTACTTGAATACTTTAAAACACTATTTAACATTGTGCTATCAATAAGTGATCCAAGTTATTTCTTTTAGCATTACTTTTTCCTTTCAAAGAAGTATTTTGGTCATAGTATGATATAGTTAAGAAAAGCATTCATTTTGAGATTTTAAGTAATGGAAGCTGGATGTGGTGGATCAGTCTTACAATTCTAGCTACTTGGGATGCTGAGATTAAAAGGATCAAAGTTAATGGCTAGCCTGGGGAAAAGGTTCATGAGACCAAATCTCAACAGGAAAAGTTGGGTGTGGTTGTATACATAAAGCATCCCTGCTATGGCTGGTCTAGTCCAAAAGTGAAACTTCTCTGGACTGGAGATATGGCTTAAGTGGTAGAATGCCTGCCAAGCAAGCACAAGGTCCTGAGTTCAAACCCCAGTAGAGCAATAAAAAAAGAAAAGAAATGGAAAATATTTGTGTATATTTGGAACCCAGAGTATTGGAAATGAGCTGCATTGAGTTACTTCACACTGATATGGTATTACTTAAATTTATTAAATTTATTAGGTTTGGAGCAAAATGGAAAGACTCTACTGATTACGAATATTGATATGGAGCCGTGTACAGTAGACCCGCAGCTAAGGATTATTCTTCAGTGGCTTGTTGCCTCTGAGGCTGAAGTTGCAGAACTGTGTGTTCATGACTCTGCAAAGAAGGAATTTATACTAGTAAGTACCACCTGCTAGAGTGGTTGTGAGGGCACATTTAGGAGTATACAGTGTTCTTGTCATGTTGATGGTTATCTTGAGATGTCTGTTGATGGCAGGGTGGTTTATGTAGGCCATTAAATAGTTTCACGTATGTCATTTTGCAGCAGGTAACCTAGGACAGGTGAACCAGACCAAGTACCAACTTTCTTAGTTGCAGTTCAGAAATGGGAGTATAGAAATTGTGTTACAAAGTATGTGAGGTTTAAGTATAATACTATAAGGAACCAAATGCTTAGTCGAATTCTTGGTATACACTCAGTCCTTAAAGTTAGATACAGTTCGTAGGCACTTTATATGTTCTTATGAAAGATGATTTTATTCTGTTTAATTGAGTCATAATTGTACTGAATAATTAGAAAGGGCATTTTAATGATTATCCAGTTTTATGTACATGAGAAGTTGGTGTAATCAAACATCAGTGAATGTTTAAACAAGATACTTTCATGAAGTACTTCATATGTGCCATGCACCTTGTTAGTCAGTATATTTCAATTTACGGTTTTATGGTTTTGTGGGCTTTTTCTCTCATAATGGTCCTTAGGAAATTTTAATTTAATCTTACTATAGGTCGTTAAATAGTCTGGTAAATAACTAGTATAGATTTTTCATTAATAACAAAAAGGGACACTCATATATTCTAATTCAAAATTTATGCCACTATTGTTGAAATAATAGTGAACATAATTATTTTACACACATATCTATATAGTACACATACACACACACACACATATATATATATATATATATATAAAATATATGTAACATAATTTTTTGTTTGTTTGTTTTGCTTAGACTGAGCTTTTTGTAGTTAGGTTTCTGTTTGGAGCAGAAAGTGAAAATGGTTCAGAAAGGGATGCTTAAGAAATGAATTGCCGCTGGTGGCTCACACCTGTAATCCTAGCTACTCAGGAGGCTGAGATCTGAGGATAATGGTTCAAAGTCAGCCTGGGTAGGAAAAGTCCATGAGACTCTTATCTCCAATAAACCACTAGGAAACCGGAAGTGGTGCTGTGTCTCAAGCGTAGAGCGCTAGCCTTGAGCTGAAGAGCTGAGGGACAGCACTCAGGTCCAGAGTTCAAGCCCCATGACCGACAAAAGAAAAAAGAAATGAATTGCCAAGGGGAAAGAATAAGTAGGGGAGTTGTTAGAACTGATCTTAGTGAGAGTAGCACTTGTGGGAATTAAGTAGTCTTAGTAAATTGAGACTTTAAGGAAAGCTTTAGATAGAACTGACAGTGATGAGATTGGGTAAGGGGACCTTGTCACCAGGTGACTTGGCCCCAGGGACCTTTGCCTAGTGATTGAGTAGGATGATGCTTAACTGTAGGTGGATGGGTGGAAATGTCTTTTGTGGCTCATTTTAACTGCATGGCTGGTTTTAAATAATGTCCCTCATTGATCATGTCTGGCTAGAACTCCACAGGGCTGCTGGATAGTTATGAAGCTGTTAAGGTAAGTACAGATTATTTTTGGTGATAATTAGAATAGAAATAGCAACTTTTGTGTCTTTCTAGGCAATATGTTATTAATTCTGATTTTTTTTGTCTTAAATTGAACAAATAAGTATTAAGATAAGCATAACTAGAACATGGGAACTCTAATTATATAGAAAAAAAACAAAAGTATATTTACATAATTGAAAAAAGACTAAGTAGTTCAAAATTTAAAACTTTGGCTAGGGCTAGGTTGTGCATGTTTGCAGTCTCAGCTAATTAGGAGGCAGAAATTGGTAGGATCAGGGTTCAAGGTCAATCTGGGAAAAAAGTTAGTGAAATTCATACCATCCAATAAGTCAAGAATAGTGGTAGTGGTACATACTGGTGATCCACGAGGAGAGAAGCTGTAGGTAGAGAAAAAGCAATCCAAGGCTAGCCTTTGTGCAAAAGCATTAAACCCCATCTGAAAAATAACTAAAGCAAAAAAGAGCTGGGAACAAGGCTTACATGGTAGAGTAGGCTGCCTTGTAACTATGCAGCCCTGAGTTCAAACCCAAGTACTACAGAACAACCTCCCAACCCAAGTCTCATACTTAGCTGCACATATACATGTAATCCGAGCAAGTTGGGAGGTAGGAAGATTGTGAGTTTGAGGCCAGTCTAGAGTACATAGTAAGACAAGCCAGCCTGTCTTAAAAAAAAAGGAAAAAGAAACAAACATAAAATCTTCAGTATCTCAAAGGATGCCATCAACAATGGGAAAAGATAACCTACAGAATGGGTGAAAATGTATGTTTGCAAATTGTCTGTCTGATAAAGGCCTTATACCTAGCATAAATAGTTAAAAATGGTGCTAAGGCCAGGGGCCCGTGGTTCATGCCTGTAATCTAGCTACCTTGGAAGCTGAGATCTGAGGATTGTAGTTCAAAGCCACACTGGGCAGAAAAGTAATTAAGAATCTTCACTAAGTACATGAAAGAACATTCAGCTTCATCTACTAGGTAATGTAAATCAAAACCACTGTCTCACACCCACCAGGATGACTATAATCAGAAAAGTATGTAACAACTGTTAGCAAGAATGTGGAGAAATAAGTTGCTGGTAAAAATCTTAAGTGGTTCTGCTGCTTTGGAAAATTTTCTCTAGGTTCCTCAAAAGGCTAATTATAGTATTATCATATAACCCCATATTTTCACTTGTATGTGTATACCCAAGAGAAATGAAAATATATATCCCCCCAAAAACTTATCCATGGTACCATTATTCATAACATAAAAAATGGGAATGAACTTGTTCAACCACTTTGGAAAGTAGTATGGAGGTTCCTCAAAAGACTCCACATAGATCTAGCCTCCCCTATGACCTAGCAATCCCACTTTTGGGCATTTACTCAAATGATCATAAACAAGACCATACTAAAGCTACCAGCACAACTATGTTTACTGCAGCTTTATTTACCATAGCTAGGATATGGAACCAACCCTAGATGCCCCTCAGTAGAGGAATGGATCAAGAAAATGTGGCATATATATATATATATATATATATATATATATATATATACACAATGGAATTCTATGCCTCCATCAGAAAAAATGACATTGCCCCATTTGTTAGGAAATGGAAAGACTTAAAAAAATTATATTAAGTGAAGTAAGCCAGGCCCAAAGAAACATAGGTCCCATGGTTTCCCTTATTTGCAATAACTAGTATATGTCAGGGACAAGTAGAAAAGGTCAAAAGCTATATAGATTTGACCAGATAAGATGATGTTAAGCGAAATGAACCCCAAGATAGGGACACAAGTGGTCTTTTCTTTCTTGCTATTGTTTCTAACGTATTTATAAGATACCATGTGATTTTTTTTGGGGGGGGGTCTGGTTGTGGGGCCTGAACTCTGGGCCTGGGTGCTGTCCCTCAGCTCTTCAGCTCAAGGCTAGCACTCTACCACTTGAGCCACAGTGCCACTTCCATCTTTTTTCTTTTTGCTTATGTGGTGCTCAGGAATTGAACCCAGGGCCTCAGGCATGCAAGGCAAGCACTCTATCACTGAGCCACCTTCCCAGCCCCCATGTGATTTTTTTTTGTTGCTTTGTATGTTCCTCCCCCACAGAATAACCTGTTTTCACTGTATTTGATGTCTGTATAATTTGGGGAGGGGAAGGGAAAAACAAAATGTTTAAATAGGGATACAGGTTGACCCATTGTAACAATGAGATGTATAAGGACACTATATTGAAAAACAAACTTTACAATTTAGGCGGGGGGATGGGGGAGAGGGGAGTGTAGTTGTGGAGGTGGGAGAGAAGGGATGGGTGGGGGAAAAACAAAGGAGGAGGCAACAATGCTTGATAAGAAATGCATTCATTACCTTGCCCATGTAACTGTAACCTCTCTGTACAGTATTTTCACAATAAAAAACTTATCTAAAAAAATGGGAATGCTACAGCTGTCTACCAGTGGAGTAGACAAGTGAAAGCATAAGGAAGAAAATATGCTAGATGGTAGCAGAACATTGAAGTCATTATGCTAAGCAAAAGAAGGTGGTTCCAAAAGACTTACACACAGAATTTATCATTGCATTTACATGAAGTGTCTGTGGAGACCAAAGTTAGGGCTGAAGGGAGCTGAGGATAGTGGAAAGTAGGTTGACAGGTAGGCCTTCTTTTGGTGTGATATGAAAAAGTGTTCTAAAGTGTTCTAAAATTGTGGTGATAACTAAGAGCCATTGCATATAAATTATCTCAGATAGTCTGCTCTGAAAAGATTAAGCTTATCTTCAAGAAAAAACTGTAATGTAGGTTTCAGAATTTAACTTACAAAGCTTTCAGAATTTAAGAACTTTTACAGAGCTAAATAAAAATGTGAATGAAGTTGTGTTTTGATCAGTCATTGTGGAGTTTATGTAAACCTATGTTTTTTTTATTTTTTTTTAAATTGGAAACATTAATATTTCTTAACTTGGAAAGCCCTGTTTCCAATGAGGGAGAATGTGTATTCAAGAAAAAACCCACACTGTATGTTATGGAAGGAAAAGCCACATCCTTTTATTAAGCTTGTTTTTTTAATGATTATTTTGTGTTCCTAATTGAGGGTATGGCAGATGTATTTAGTTAGGTGAAGAATTTCCTGTAGAAATTTAGCCTGTTCCCTCCTACACAGACTTATCTGCTGGTTGAGGTTTGTAGAGCTCTGTCTCCAGCAATCCCAAAGTGTCTTTCTGTGGAGGAGATATGTTTATAAAGGGCAGGAACTGAAAATATTCAATTTGGGAAAAGGGGTGGTGGTTTAGGGGAGAAGCTCTTGAAAAATTGGGAAACAGTATTTGCTTGTAAACTGTATGATTTTCAGTTCTTATACTAAAAACAAAAACTTCAGTGGTATAAAATTGATTTCTGCTGTTTGATATATCTTTTTAACTTTTTTTTTAGCTTTCAAAACAGTTACAAGAAAAAGGATGGAAAGTAGGAGACCTCCTGCAGGCTGTACTTAAATACTATGAAGCAGTGGAAAAGCCCTCCAGTGAAGAGAGGCGCAAGTCGCTGTTCGATTGGCTCCTGGAAAATGCATAGAACAAACCCTGAGCCATTATATTTTATTATTTGTTTGGGAAAGGAAGAAACAGATTAATATGTTTATGATAAATTTGAAATAGTGAATATTAAAATCTTAAATGAGTTGGGAGGAAAGTAAATACAGCTTTTTAAGTGCTTTCTGTCATCACAATGTATATAATTCATACTTTTATAAAATCTCCGTTAAAATATTATCCTCACTTAATTCTTCTATACATACATGTGTGGTGTGTTGATTTCCTAAGAACATGGATATGAAAGAAAGTCTAACCATGAGGTTTTCTGGGACATCCAACAGCACTCTTTTTGGATCCAAATAGTGCTGCTTGAAACTGCACTGAGCTGCTGAGGAGAGGATCCAGTAAATGAGAATTATAATTTTGCTCCTTTGCAAACAAATGCCGCTGACTAATATCTAGCATCAAAAAAATAAAGCTGAGTATTTTTTTGTTTCTGGTAGATGTTTATTCTTTTTGTCCTGTTTTAAAAATTGGCTTTATTTTCATAGTTCAGCTACTGGTAGCTTTTTGATTCCCTAAAGTAATGTTTTAGGTTTCTCTGAACACTGTGAGTGTTAACTTTCCCCAGCTTGCCATCAAATGACATTTTTTGCTAATGTCGCCAGTTGTTTTGGCAGGCAACCACTTTCTAGAAATGAAATGAGTATGTGAGTATACATGTATGAGTGTGTGTGTGTGAGAGAGAGAGTGAATGAGTGAGTGAATGAGTAAAGGAGAACTTTAACTTTGCCACTGCTTTGTTCTAACCATCTTATTTTAATGTTTTCTTAGTTAGAAACCCTCTAGATACATTAAAAAGGTGCTTAAAATAAAATGTCTTTAAAGATTGTGCAGTAAGAATTTTTGTCTTTTGACATCCTATAAATAAAAGTTCAGCTTACAAAATACTGAAATTTTTTAAATTAGTATTAAAATAGAAATGCATTCAGTGGAGCCTATAATGGTTTTCATTGTGGATTTTTGGGGGAAAAAACTCCCCATTTTACCAAGATTTTTTTTCTCTTTAAAAAAAAGGGGTTTTTCTCTTCCAATAAAATGTATCCCCACTATTTTGTAAAGTTCTCTGACATGGCCTTTCTGGCCTCTCTTCATGTCCTGCCCCTTTGTCTGTAGAAACTTGAGTTTGAGGACCAAGACTGTGTCTTGTTTTTGTGTATAGAGAAGTGTGGGGTATGCGAATGGTTTGCATTCTTCCTCTAGTAGGTTTTGTAATCCCAGGTAAATCATTTTTTGGGGGGTTGCTCCATTACCTTTCCTTTTCCCCCCAAACACTCACTGTTCCAGAAACCACACATAATGTAGAAGACATAGCACCTGCCAGGAAGCCGAGAGACAGGGCACTTCCATTAATCCAAAACTTTAATCTTGTTGAAGAAAAGAAATGTGTTTTATTGTGAAAGATTCAAATTTTCTTTATAATGCTCTCCAAAGCTACTGAAATATGAGGTTATAGTGTATATTTTTATTTTTTCTCAACTTAAGGTAGCAACATGGGGCAAACCATTAAGACATAAAATTTCCTAAAGTTTTGAGTATTTTTTTTTAGGTAGAGAAATGCAAGAAATGTATAAATGATTTCTGTCTTTAACTTTTCAGAGCTTGAGATGCAGCATTATGAAACTGGGTTTTAAATATTAGGACTAGGAATATGATTAGTCACCAATTATAATTACAATTTAGCTGTCAAATTGTATTTTGCACTTTGGGTGTATATATTTAGGTTAGATTGACAGCACAACTGAGTTTTCTCTTATCTAAACATGACAATATATTAGATATGTGAAAATTCTTCTGTTTAAAAATGTTTGTTAGTAGTGTAATCATTTTGAGGTAAGTTTCCCTCCTCCTCCTAAATCCTTTGCATTTTGCTGGCATTGTACTGCTTAGAGGTCTCTCACTTAACCACTGGAACTCCACACTTGTATCAGTTCAATGCCAGGGGCATAGAGAGACAAACATTTAAGTATTGGCAAACATGGAAAAAGTTCTGAGTTAAGTTCCCTTACATAGAGAGAAAATGTGTGTCTAGATCAGTATCTTTTAATCAAGAACATTGTAAACTTTAACTTTCTTTAAAGGCACTTTGATTTATCCAAAGACTTTCTAGATGTTTGGTTGCTTGTTCTTAGAACAACTGTGTTGAGGTCAGCTCTGTCATTTTTACTAAAGATCTGCTTGATATATTTATATTGTAACATTGTAATATTGCCATTTTGCACATTTTGGTCCTCATAAACTATGTCATACTCAGAATTGTTCAATTGTGATGTGCAGTGAGCTGAAATGTCTTTTTTCTAATTTCTAACCCACCATAGGATCTGTGGAAAGAAAGAGGCCTGCTGGATTAGAACATCACTTCTGACCAAAATATGGTAGCCCTTTCTTGTTCTGCATTTCCAAAGCCAAGTTTAAAATTACATTTATATTTTTGCTATTATTAATGTTGATTTTGAAAATATTTCCTGATTTATTTGAAAGAATGATTGACTTAAAATCACAGAAGAAAATGGCAATATCTATTGGATGGTTTGATATGATTTAATGATATTATGAAAGCATTTAAGAGTATTCATTCTCTAATTTAATGTGATACCTTCATGCTTTGAAAAATGTTCCACTTAAACTTTCAAATATTTGATGGGAATTATCTCAGTTCATAATACTTTAATTCTGCCTAAATAAGGATTTTATATTGCTTATAGTAAATTAATACCTTAATTCTGCTTAAATAGAGTTTTATATTACAACTAATATATATTAAGTGCACTGCATATAAAGTGAAGGAGTTATAATCCATTAGACCTTTGGTATCTTTTGGCATTAGTGTACCTTCTCCCAACACATGGTTTAATCTTCATTCATTACCAGAGTCCAGAGTGAAATGTCTACTTAGTTATTTAGTTAGATTATTATTTCACAGTTAAATACCATTAATTTCCCATTGGTATATCATTTTACACTTCATGTCTTTTGAAGAAAACTATATGGAAATAAAAAGTTGATGCACCTATACGTGGAGTAGGGAAAATGCTTTCTCTTTCAAGTCCTGCCCAAAAGAATTAGAGCCTCAGTGGGAAGGAGGAAGAGTGGGCTGTGAAGTGAAGTGCATTTTGTCTGTTTTCAGCAGCAGCCCTACAAGCATTCACTTGTTTACTTCTGCTCTGAAGACACAGGTGCAGTCTTAGTCACTCCGGCCACTTTATTTATTTATTATTTTTTTTTTTACCATCCATGTACATTCCTTTCATATAGTTAGAATTGTAGGTCTAGAAGTTCTCATTTTGTTTTTGTGGTAAAGTTTGGATACTATTTAATATCAGGTTTTAATATTGCTGGATTTGCAATGTTTGGTTACTTGTGCAGTGTTGGAAGTAATCCACATTCTTGTTTACCAGATATAAGCTAAAGTAGTTTTGAATAATTATAGCTGTTTATTTGGCTGTGCTCAGTTAGTACATCAGTCTTGTACTGTGTAACGGTAAATTTTCTTTGTTTAGTAAATGTTCACTTACCAAACTATGAACTTCAGGATGCGCTGAAAATTTTCTTTTAGCAATGGCTCAAAAAAAAGTTTCAGAAATAACCTTTGTAATAATTTGCAATTAATTGTTCTTTTCTCTTTCAATTGTTTAAGCCTGTGGTCTTTCTTCTCCCAACTAAGAATTCTTCAATAAATTTAAGAAATGCTTAGTGTTGGTTTTCATTTTGCTACATCTTGTCAGCGGCTCTGTGTTGAACTGAAACCAAGGCATGTGGGACTGCTTGGGAGAGGACATAAAGGGATCTATTCCCATCATGATGTTTTACATTTAAAAATTTTTTATTGTAAAGATGTTGTATAGAGGGGTTACAGTAACATGTCAGATAATAAGTATGTTTCTTTTGGGACAGTGTCACCTCTTCCCTCATTTTCTCCTAGTTTTTCCCTCTTGACTTCACTCTCTCCCCCTTCACAGAGTGTCAGATGAGTACCACTGCTGTATTTGTTTGTCCCTCTATTTCTGTGTTCCCTCTTACCCACACCCAAACTGATAAACTTTATACAAGACAGAAGGTACAGAAAACATTATACTTGTTTTTTTTTAAACATTATACATGTTAAATTATACAGGACTGTAAACATTCACATAGACTAAAGGAGGATAGTCTCAGGGGGAGGACCACAAATGCTCAATAGCTATGTGCATATGATCATATAAAATGTTATTTAGCTGGACACTGGTGGCTCATGCCTGTAATCCTAGCTACTCAGGAGACAGATCTGAGAATTGTGATTTGAAGCCAAGCCCAGTCATGAAAGTCTGTGAGACTCTCTTCTTCAATAAACTACTTTGCACTGGTCTTGAGCACAGAGAGGCTCATGGACAGCCCAGGCCCTGAATTTAAGCCTGAGGACTGGCAAAACAAAAGAAAAAAGTTTATTGAAATGAACTCCCAAGAAATGGAAACAAGGTTGTTTGCTATTTTGCTTTTTGTTTTTGTTTTTCTCTATCATGATTTTTGTTTGTTTGGTCATGGGGCCTGAACTTTGGGCCGGGGCGCTGTCTCTCAGCTCTTCAGCTTGAGGCTAGTGCTCTACCACTTGAGCCACAAGGCCATTTCTGGCTTTTTCTGCTTATGTGGTGCTGAGGGATCAAACCCAGGGCCTCATGCATGCAAGGCAAGCGCTCTACCACTGAGCCACCTTCCCAGCCCTCCATCATGATTTTTGGGCACAATGTAGGAATGTTTCTAAATTGGATACTGAATTCTGCATACTTAAAAGTGCCTCTGAGTGCTAATGGAAGGGACTTAGAAGCTTGGCTACCCAGTCTTGTTTTGGATTTAATGCATTTTGCTTTTTGAAACATGAACATGATTATGAAATTTATGCTGGTCTGGTTGTGCTTTCTTTGGTAGTCCATAGAGGTTGTACTCCTGTCACCCAAGGTCTGTGAGAAAAGAGACATCAGCTTAGGGTTTTTATTGCTAATGGAATTTGAACTTTGGCTTATGCACTTTTTCTTCTTTTTCCTGTCAAGTAAGACTTTAACTTTTACAACAGTATCATTTACCCTTATCTCTCAGCCCACCCCCATACCCTCCTTCAGTGTCAACTCTTTGAGAGGGGAATGATTATTACAGCCTGGGAACCTGCATTGACAAGCCATTATTACCCAAGGCTTGTGGTACATACTAAGGCTCAGTGTTACAGGTTTTGGCAAGTGAATGATGATGTGTTCACCACTGAATGTTTATGTAAGTAGTTCTACTACAAGTATTATAAATCCAGGAATTAATGGATAGCTTTTTAAAATTTTTTTTTAATTTTTATTTTTTATTGTGAACATACTGTACAGAGGGGTTACAATTACATGGGCAAGATAATGAATACATTTCTTACCAAGCATTGCAGCCTCCTCTTTTGTTTACCCTTCACATCCTTTCCCAGCCTCCCCCTGCCCCCCCCCAATCCTCCCACCCCCTCCAAAGTTGTAAAGTTCGTTTTCGACATGACAACTTGTACTTCTCATTGTAACGGGTCCACAGTTATCCTTAAATGCCTTGTTTTTCCCCTTCTCCTCCACAAATTATACCAACATCAAATATAGTGAAAGCAGGGGTTATACTGTGGGGGAGGGACATACAAAGCAACAAAGAAATAATCTTATAATTGTGTTAGAAACAAATGCACGAAAGAAAAAAAAACCATTTAAATACATATCTAAGGGTTCATTTTCCTAACATCACATTATCTGACCTTTTCTGCTTGACTCATACATATTGCAAATAAGGGAAACCATGGGACCTATGTTTCTTTGGGCTTGGCTTACTTCACTTAATATAATTTTTAGTGGATAGCTTTTTTAAAGTTTCTCAGTGTTTCAGAATGTTAGGAGATAGTGGCAAACAACGAGAAGGCTTTCCTTCAGGTGCAAAGAAATAAGAAATGCAGAAAGTAAGCCAGATTCCATATATTATAATTCCATAAAGGAAAACTGGCTCAAAAGAGTAGAAGTTTAATACATCAGAATCGTTTGTGGGTTTTGCTTGGCTAGTGCAGAGAGGGTGTCACGGAGGATGGAGACATCATGGCCTCCAGGAGGAAGGCAGAGTGCTGTTGTGTGACAACGGTGTTAACAGAAAGGGCCAAAAGAAAATGAAGTGTTTTGTGGCATAATGTTGGCCACAGGAAAAAGGAAGAGTATATGTTACCTTTTTCTCCTGTTCTTTGTAATTTTGAAATCACTTCACTGATTTTACTTCCTGTAGGCCAGGGTCAATGAAAATGAAAAACATTTTTATGATTTAATTGACCTTAGATTTTGACTTTAGTACTTCCTTCTGTATTACTGCTTCTGATACTCATGAGACACTGTATTGAAAATGAACGTTACAGCTTGGGGGCAGGAGGAGTGGAGGAGGTGGGGAGGGAAGCTATAGTAGGGGAAAAAGGAGAGGGCAACAATGCTGGACAAGAAATGTACTCATTACCTTACCTCTGTACAGCATCTTTACAATAAAATAAAAATAAAACATTCCTCAGTGGATTACATCTTAAGATACATCTTGATTTACAGTAAGAGATTGAAACTGGGCTTGTGTACAATGTTCTGCCCACTGATATGCTTTGGCTCGATATGAGCTCTTTTAAAATTAAGTACACTTAAGGAAATTTTTTCTTAAAAGTTTGTTTTACATTTCCAGTTGAAAGTAGAAAGCTTAGGGGCATTGGATTCTTAGCTAATTTGGTAGAAATAAATTATTGTCTCTTTAGTTCCAGAATAAGTTCTGTTTTTGTTTTTGTTTTTTTTTGCTTCTGGCATGATATGTTAGAACCCTTCATTTTGGTCACTTGCTGGGACCTGTAGACTTGTTTTGGAGGGTGGTAGTGTATGGAACAGGACAGAGTCTCACTATGTAGCCCCCTATGAGGCTGTAAACTGGTGGTTCTCCTACCTCAGCCTCCCAAATGTTAGAATTCTCCTACCTCAGCCTCCCAGGTATGTACCACCACTCTGGGCTTTCTGGTAGTCATTTAACACTGCAGCCTCTGTGTTAAAGCAGATGTGATTGTTAATTTGAGCAAAGAATGGTATTCTAGTAATCATTTCATTTTCTAGCATTACTCAAAGAACATTCTATAAATTATGGACCTGGTGAATGTATTACTCCTGGACAGAAAGTAAATAGTAATTGTCAAATGTATAGGTTTTGAATCTATGGAGAAGGGAGAGCAAGTATAGGTTTAACAAGAACAGATTCTATCATTTCTATTTCCTGCTCTCCTAGCATATTAAAATACCAGATGCCATCTAGATTTTAATGACATCTTTTACATGGAAGGAAGAAACGAATAATGACAGTTGCCTAATGTTTCAAGAATGTGTCCCTATATTTGAGAATGTGGTTAATAGTTCACAGTCAACCTGGAGTCAGCACCATGGTATGTCAAAAGCCATTTCATGTGTTGTCTTTACGTATCGCCATTGTGTTTGTGCTAATCCGCAGTGCCAAAAAGCATCACTGAGCATTGCCAGAAATCATACTGAAGGACAATATTCAATCTACTAGAAAGAAAGGAGAGGAGCTGATGAGAGAGTTGAGTCCAGTCCCTCCCTTTGTCCTTTGAATCAGGGTTTTGACGTTTTCCTCCAAAAGTGGGAAGGTTCCATGTTTGTGTATTACGTTTATATATATATTTTCTTCTCATGATAAGGTGCTGTTTTTTAAATACTCTCCTTGATAGAAAGTTGGTTCTTTTTCTTAGTTACATGAATCAAGAACTTGTGAAAATATGGGAACTGAGGCTAAAACCTTAAAATGCTGTGGGCTTAGGAAAAGATACAACAAAAGCCATCAGAGAAAAAAATAGAAGCTGCAGCCAGGCACCAGTGACTCAAACCTGCAATCCTAGCTACTCAAGAGGCTTGAGATCTGAGGATCTGAGCCTAGGCGGAAAGGGCTCTATGAGACATCTTGAATGAACCACTCAAAAACCAGAAGTGGAGCTGTGGCTCAAAGTGGTAGGCCACTAGCCTTGAGCAAAAGAGCTCAAGGACAGCATCTAGGCCCTGAATTCAGCCTCATGACCAAGCAAAAAAAGAGAAAAAGATGCAGAATTAATATATAGTCTGTCTCTTACCTTTTTTTCTGCTTGCAAATGGCTTGTGATGATGAGCACTTGGAGGAGACTGGAACATTACAATAGCATTTACAGTCTACAAGCTGCTGTTTTGAAGCCAGCCTTAGATGTTTGTGGCAAAGGCTGAGAAAAAGGTTAAGCAACCTAAGCTGTGTCCAGTGTGCTTTGAGGTTTTGTTTACTTTTTATTGGTATTGGGGTTTGCACTCAGGGCCTCATCTTGCTAGACTGGTGCTTTATTACTTGATATACACCTCCAGCTCTTTTTTCCCCTAATTATTTCAAGTTTTGATTTTCCTGTCTGGGCATGTGCCTGAGCCATGATCCACTTACTTTAGCCTTTTCTTTGAAGCTGGGATCATGTGTACACAACATTGAGATAGTTTCTCTCCATTGAGATAGAAGTCTCACAGACTTTTGTCTATAGCAGTCTGACTTTGCAATGTTTATCATTCCAGCCCCCTCCCCCCAGCAGCTTGGGGTGACAGGTCCATGCCACTGCAGTGTATGGGTTGAGAAGTGGTCTTGTGAACTTTTCTGCCTGGGCTGGCTTTGAACTGGAACAC